GAGTTGGATCTGCAGGGGGTCTGAGCTAAGAGATCCACATTAGTCCTCTAAGTGGAAGGGCTTCTGCTTTAGTCTTGAAAGTAAGCTGGGCCTACTTTTTCCTTTCCTGCTGTTGTCAGGATCCCCCTATTTACAATGTGTACAGTTCCTCACAGGGACAGATCAGTAATGTATGTGACATTTGGTACATTTGTGAAAGCTGGATGCACCTACAATAATACTAGAAGGTACCAAGGTGCATCACTGATGACATTTTACAATAGAGGGCACTGCTTTCTGAGTTGTATACTCTGACACATTCCCTGGAAGAATGGCGTAGAAGACAGATGGTGGTAATTGTGACACATTCATGTACATATCAGAAACATGTTACATAGCCTGCCTTGTGCACCGGTTTCCAGGCGGCTGAGCTTCATTGGTTGCTAAGACACTGGCGGCCTCGGGACCCTGGAATACTAGCAACCACTGAGGTGCGACTGAGTCTGATTGGTTGCTTAGCTGCTGTTGTCCTGGCAACCAGTGATGTCGTGCAACCAGACAAACTCCTTACTCCCCACACAAATTGCTCCAAAATGACACCGGGTCTCATTTACTTCCAGTTACTTTATCGTCAAAACGTCTGTATTTCTTTGCGTGTGTTGCAGCCATTGTAACAGAACATAAGAACTGCCTGAATGAGTTGCCTGTGTTGGTAATGGCATTGGCACTGTCCTACTGCTTTTCTGAGTTTGGTGCCGGGCATTCTTAGACGGCATTAATGCCAGAAACTTTCACAAATGATATGTTGAATCGCCCCACTGTGCCTAGAAGAGTTCCCATGGCAATGCGTCCTACCTTGCACAGGATAGCCTACATGCCATATATTACATTTCATTATACTGCCAGACATTCTGATGTTGTAGTCATTTCATATGCTGATAGTTTACAGTCTAATGCCAGCTTTCTTTACGGTGGGATAAAACAGGTGAAATTTAAAATATTATTATTATTATTATTATTATACAGGATTTATATAGCGCCAACAGTTTGCGCAGCGCTTTACCATCTTGTCTTGATTTGTATTGTGAGTGTAATGTCTTCCTTATATTGTAAAGAGGGCCCTGCCCCTGAGGGCTTACAATCTAAAATATCTGTCAGGTTCTTATTTCTGCTTATATCATTGGGAAGATTCTCCCTCATTTCCTGTCCCCGTGACACCTGTTAAAAATGCAGAGAGCGGTTCTCACCGGGACAGGAAGGCACAGACGGAAGTTCTAAACCTTCCTCCCTGTACCAAGATGTTTTGGTTGGAGGTGGGGCTTTAAATGGTGATTGGTTGTGCAGTGCAATCGTCTCTTCTATCTGATCCTTCAAGTCTTATAACCAGCTTTGACTGTATTCATGTTGTATAAATTGGCAGTGTCTCTCCCATAGAATAAGGACAACGACACACTGAAAGATCTGCTAAAGGCTAATGTTGAGAAGCCTGTGAAGATGGTGGTGTACAGCAGCAAGACACTGGAACTGAGGGAGACGTCAGTGACACCCAGCAATATGTGGGGAGGACAAGGCTTGCTGGGAGTCAGCATACGATTCTGTAGCTTTGAAGGGGCGAATGAGAACGTGTGGCACGTGCTGGTGAGTTATTTTAAAGGCAACCTGTACTGGGAAAATAAGTAGGCTGCCATTACTGAACAGTGCCTTTAAAATGCTGCTTGACTGGCTGTCATGCTGAGCCAGAAGCGTCTACAGTGTCACTATCCTGAAACAAGATCTCAAGTTCTGACCTCACTAGGGGCTCTGATCACTGACTGAAATTATTGAAACCAGAGACATCCAGGCAAACCTGATCAGCAAGGGCAACCCACGTATATCTCTGCAGCGTTCTGCCAAGCTTTGGTATATATTGAGAACTTTTTGGTTACATTGTTTTTTTCTACTTTCTCTAGGAAGTGGAACCAAACTCCCCTGCAGCATTGGCTGGTTTGAGGCCCCATACAGACTACATTATAGGAGCAGACACGGTCATGAATGAGGTAATATGTTCTATGCGTTTTATCTGTCTACACTGGTACAGATCCCTATATAGTTCTTAATTTAGATTATGGCCTATAGGCTGCTCGCGCTGGTAAGGTCCGCCGCTCTATTCTGTTTTTACTTGCTGGAACACGTTGTAATTGCTACTCGATCCTGGCAGTAAATCTCCTGATAGACACTTCCTCTAGGTGACTGCTGTAGTGTCCTCACCCTTGCTGCTTAGATGCTGGAAGTTTTGGTGACCTGAGAAGTAACTATGCCAGCTCTGCTCACAGCCCTTTAGATTCCCTTCCGTCCCCTCCAGCACTGTCTAGAAGGGTACAGGTGGAATCCAGCTGCATGTACCATGTTAATGTAAATTACATTTGTTTTAAGAACTTTTATATGTCAAAGTTCCATGAAGATGCTGTTTATTACTCGGAGGGAAAAAACAAAAGCTTTAGATCGACTTTACAGGAGCACAAAGCTTACACAGTCTCACTTGGCTGTACAAACCCTCCTCACCCTCCACCATAAGGACTGCACTGATTATTGCTCTCATCCATGGCACATTTCATCACTTTAATATCCAACATGCTTTACAATGGATGATACGCAATCTCATCGGTAAGGACGGTGCTGTCGGTAAGGAGGGTATAATGGGGTTAGACGGTGCTGTCGGTAAGGAGGGTATAATGGGGTTGGGCGGTGCTGTCGGGAAGGAGGGTATAATGGGGTTGGGCGGTGCTGTCGGGAAGGAGGGTATTTCTGTTCTGGTCTCCTGATTAATTTTTCTGTCCATGAACTGATTCCAGGCAGCTGGCGCTGTGCTGGCTATTCCTCTCCCTTCATTGGATTTATATTTGCCTGTTAAGCGGTGCTGATACTACACTTGGCTGATGTCTTAATAAGCACGAGGTAACTGTAACAATGCTTTTACTACTTTTCAGTCAGAAGATCTGTTTTCCCTTATTGAGACTCATGAAGGAAAGCCTTTAAAGCTGTATGTGTACAACACCGACACAGACAACTGCAGGGAGGTGGTCATCACTCCAAACTCTGCATGGGGGGGAGAAGGCAGGTGAGTACTCGGAGCGCCTCTGTGTGGATAAGATCTTTTATTTAGTATTGCTGAGTACTGCCACCATACACTGAGGGGAATATTAACATGTATGTGTTAAACTGCAGCACCTGTAGACCAGATTTGGCCATGTCACAGGGGGTAATAAAAGCTGTTTCTCACTACAGGGACAATGTCAAATAATAATGCCAGTACACGATCTGGAAATGGGGAGGGGGAAGGTTTGGGGAGTACATTTGGGTAATACTTGTACATGAAAGGCTGCCATTGTTGACCTCTCCTATTTAATTGGCTGGCTATCAGTCTGATTTAGTGACTGCAGTATATTCCGAGTAACTGCCATGTAAGAAGTGTTTGGTTTCCTGTGAACATGTAATCTATTCTTCTGAATGGTGGCATAGATTCAGTTCAGATTCCATTTATTGTCTCAGACTTGATGGAATTGCTCCAGTTATTGGCTGATTCTGTAGAGAGAATTATCCACGTTTCCCAAAATGCAGCTAAAATGATAAACTAATGTTTTGC